CATACACACACACGCGCACATACACACACACGCGCACATACACACACGCGCACACACACACGCGCACACACACAGAGACACACACACACACGCATGCACACAGAGACACACACACACATGCACATACACACACACACACGCACTCACACACACACACACGCGCGCGCACACACACACACGCGCGCGCGCACACACACACACACACACACACACACGCATATGCACGCACACAGAAGCAGAGAAGTGTAGGGAGGGAATTCTAGAGTTTGGAGCCCAGGAAGCTGAAGGCAGTATTGCCGGTGATGGAGGGTCAAAGTCTGGGAACGTTCATGAGACAGATGAACAAGTTAAAAAAATCTCAGAGGAATGTGGGGCTGGAGGAGGTTAAAGAGATAGGGAGGGGGTGTGGGGACTGGTTAGAGGTTACAGTGATAGTGAGGGGTGTGGGGGCTGGTTAGAGGTTACAGACATAGGGAGGGGATGTAGGGATTGGAGGAAGTTACAGAGATAGGGAGGGGGTGTAGGGGCTGGAGGAGGTTACAGAGATTGGGAGCGGGTGTAGCAGCTGGAGGAGGTGACAGAGATAGGGAGGGGGTGTCGGGGTCTGGAGGAGGTGACAGAGATAGGGAGGGAGTGTAGGAGCTGGAGGAGGTTACAGAGATAGGGAGGGGGTGTAGCAGCTGGAGGAGGTGACAGAGATAGGGAGGGATGAGGCTGAGCTGGAGTTTGGAAACCATTAGCCTGTAAGAAATAAGAACAGGAGTAGACCATTCATTAGGATCATGACTGAATGACATTCCTCACATCCACTTTCCTGCCCTTTCCCCATTGATCCCCCCGTTGATCAAGAATCTGTCACAGAATCGATCGATCTATACAAAAGCATTCTGCCCCCACGGCCTTCCTTATGCTAAGGAGTTCCAAAGACTCTCAACCCCCGGAGATAAAAAAAATCCTCCTCCTCTCAGTCTTAAATTGATGCCCCTTTATTCTGAGACTCTACCCTCTGGTCCTAAACTCTCCCATGAGGGGAAGCATCCTCTCAGCATTTACCCTGTCGAGCCCCTTAAGAATCCGATGTTTCAATGAGATCACCTCTCATTCTTCTAAACTCCAGAGAGTAGAGCCCCAAACTGTTTAACCTTTGCTCATAAGACAGTCCCTCCATACTGGGAATCATCCTAATGAACTTTCTCTGGGAAAGTTTGATTTTAGTAACACCATTGTTATGATCTTGAACTGTTTCTGATGAAATGATATCTTTTCCCAAATAAAGGGACCAAAACTGCTCACAGTACTCCAGATGTGGTCTCCCCAGCACCTTGTACAGCTGCAGCAAGACCTCCCTACGCTTATACTCAAAACCCCTTGAAATAAAGGCCAACGTTCCATTCACCTTCCTGGTTCCCTGCTGCCCCTGTGTTTCATGCACTTAATGGAAAGGTCCTGGGGAGTGTTATTGAACAAAGAGACCTTGGGGTACAGGTTCATAGTTTCTTGAAAGTGGAGTCCCAGGTAGATAGGATAGTGAAAAAGGCGTTTGGTATACTTGCCTTTATTGGTCTGTGCATTGAGTATAGGTGTTGGGAGGGTCATGTTGCAGCTATACAGGACATTGGCGAGGCTACTTTTGGAATTCTGCTTTCAATTCTGGTCGCCCTTCTATAGGAAGGATGTTGTGAAACTTGAAAGGGTTCAGAAAAGATTTACAAGGATGTTCCCAGGGTTGGAGGGTTTGAGTTACAGGGAGAGACTGAATAGGCTGGGGCTATTTTCCCTGGAGCATCAGAGGCTGAGGGGTGACCTTATAGAGGTTTATAAAATCATAAGGGGCATGGATAGGGTGATTAGCCAAGGTCTTTTTCCCCAGGGTAGGGGAGTCCAAAACTTGAGGGCATAGGTTTAAGGTAAGAGTGGAAAGGGACCTGAGGGGTAACATTTTCACACAGAGGATGGTGCGTGTATGGAATGAGCTGCCAGAGGAAGTGGTGAAGGCTGGTACAATTACAACATTTAAAAGGCATCTGGATGGGTAAATGAAGAGGAGGGGTTTAGAGGGATGTGGGCCAAATGCTGGCACATGGGATTAAATTAATTTAGGATATCTCGTCAGCACGGACAAGTTGGACCGAAGGGTCTTTTTCCATGCTGTACAGCTCTGTGACTCTAAATCCTCCCAAAATCCCTTTGTGTTGCAGCTTTCCACAGTTTTTGTCCATTTAAATAATATTTTGTTCTTCTGTTCTTCTTTCCAAAATGAATAACTTCATATTTCCTTACATTATACTGCATTTACCTACTTTTTGTCCACTTACGTATCCTATCAATATCTCTGTGTGAACTCTCTGTATCTTTCCCGTAACTTGCCTTTCCACCTACTTTCTGCAAATTTGACTACATTCACTGCCGTCCTCCAGGTTATTAATATATATTGTAAACAGTTGTGATCCCAGCACCGATCCCTGTGGAAACCCACCACCCACAGGTTGCTAACCTGAAAAAGAGCTCCCGATCCCCACTCACTGCTTTCTGTCCATCAGCCAACTTTCTGGCAGTGTCAGTACATACCACCACTTATCATTTAACTTTTTTGTAGAACACCTTCAGGAAGCCCAATACAACACATCTACTGGTTCCCCTCTATCCACTCTGGTTGAGACTTCTTCAAAAATCTCTAATAAATTAGTCAGACACAATTTTCCTTTCATGGAGCCATACTGACTCTGCTCGATTAGATTATGATTTTCCAAATGTGCTGCTATTACTTCCTTAATAATCGATTCCAACTTTTTTCCAACAATGGATGCTCAGCTCGTTGCTCTGTGGTTACCTGCTTCTTGCCTCCCTCCCTTTTTTGAATAGGGGTGTCACATTGGCAGCTTTCCAATCCTAACGGAGAATCTATGGATTACAACCAATGTCTCCACTTTCTCTGAGCCAGCAGATGAGAATTTGAAAATCTTGTTTGCTGACTCTGAGCCAATGAAAATCAGTGAACGTAGAGGGCAACTGAGTTTAGGATGTGCTGAAGTTGAAGGAAGCTGAAAGGAAAGCAGCTGGAGTTGAGGGGTGGAGAAAGGTTTCAGCAGCAGATAAACTGAGTCGGGGTTGGAATCAAGTGATATCCAGGATCAAATGGCATGTGATAGACATGTTCACAAGCCTATTCAAGCTTAACAGAGAGTCACCCAGTCTGAGCAGAACACTATAACTTACAGGGGCAGGATTCGGCCATTCAGCCTATCTGTCATTCAATCTTGGCTCATATGTTTCTTAACCTCGTTCTCCTGACTTCTTCTAATAACCATTCACCCCCTTAACT